TTAGATCTCCGTGGGACACTCTGTATAATATAATAGGCCTATACTCTGGTCAACGAATGAACACAACGTTTCTGCGCATCCCTTCGTCGCCCTTTTTTTGAAACCGATTWCCTATGGAATGATGTTGCGTGTGGGAGGACCTGCAGTTTTAGTCGGAGCGTGGCCTATATAGCTGTTCTTTCGCTGAACAGAATATAATAACTATATATATAAATGACTAGATTATGAAATCATGTGCACACATTTAAATCGAAATAATGTATAATGTATTTAATATTTATATATCTATGTATCTATGTATAGGTATTACATATTAATTATAAATATAAATTATTAATTTTAAATTAGGTATATAAAATGTGCTTTACTTGACGATCATTTTCCATAACTATTATTGTTACTTGCAATATTTCGTATCCGCATTTGTTTTAATGGYTTTATCCAGAAATAGACATAGTTATGAGACTCATTATTTTTAAATAACCTTTATTTACTGTGATTCGTAATAATACAACACCAATCAACATTATAGTGAACAGCTATTATAAGCTATTATTTGTTAGATAAGTACTCATTTATCACCCATATACCATATACCTACAACCTACATACCTCAAACAATTCTTTCTACAATCGTGTAGGTACATATATATTATATTTAAATTAAATATCGTAAAAATATTATCTTTAATGATGACCGTAAAGTCATTTAATACATTTCATTTTAAATGAACATAGTTTATAAATTATGGTATCAGTGTATCACATTATTAACGTGAAAGTAAATAAAAATAAACAATTAAACWGGCATTTATAGGCCTATATTCAAACTATCCAACTACAATGGTGCTACATACATATTGTACATTGTAAAAATAATGTTTAATACAAAGCTTAGTAGGTATTTTAAATTTTTAATTGTATCAACATTATAAACAGATAAATTTAAYGGAATCAGTAAAAATATTAACAAGCAAATATATTTGTAAATTAATTCATTTAAATCTGTTTTTCATAATTTATAAGATATTTTATTATTTTCATTATTATTATAATTTATGTAAAATCATCAAACATAAAGAATTTTCAGAAAATTGTTAATAGCTCTATTCATTAATATATACATATAATATATATAAATGTTTAAAATTGTAAACAAGTGATTTATGAGCCAAATCTTTCACTTATAATATTTTTCAAAGGGATTTCCCGAAGTCAACCTAGTTGTTTGGCAAATGATTCAATTTCGAGTGACAGTTTTTTATAGCTTCGTTGAATAACGAGGGTGACCATAATATAATAAATTAAAGAACGTTTTATAATATTATGTTATAAAAATTAAAATACAAATCATGACAAAATAAATAAGTAATAATTATTTTATTTTAAATTGCTTATAATGTTTGAATAGAGGATCTTTTAACCTATAATAGTGTACCTATCGTGTTTTATGGTATTATTGTTTGTCATGCAATCTGATTTCATTTTCATTTTTTTTATACAATACATTTTTAAATATAATATACCTGATGCATTTGCATATAAATATTAATTGTTTTGAATCAATTCTAWCTGTTTGTAGTGCGTATAGTAARAAATAATTGAAATAGTATTATATTTAGGTAAATAAATCAAGGTAAATTTTTTGGAAACCAACCTATATSTATTTATAAATATTTAATAGACTTATGTATTCCTTTCTTTTCCAAAACTTTTGTTAAGTTAAACATTAACACGCGCAATAAATATACCGTTATAAATTTAATTGAAATCTTAAATCTTAAAGTCAAGTTTGAAAGTAAAATTATGCTTCTATTTTTTTTTTAATTTTTAGTAATTTATAATACCTGAAGTGGTTGGCAAACGTTTGTTGAAAAAAATATAAGCCACAGTGTGGTAATGTAGGATGTACTGTTAATCGTGCAATRATTTCCTATGCAAATCTTTGAAACTCTGTTACCGACAATTCATTAAAATGTATTTATAGTCTATACGGAGTGATGGTTAGTTTTATAACTTAATAAAGTTATAGCTCTAAAAGACTAGAATGATCACGAGCAATTTGTTAAATCCAAAACATAATATGATATAGAACAAAAGATTTAGATTTTTTCTTTAACTACTTCATATTTATGTCATCTAATGATGTACAAACAGTATCTAAAATGAATTGCATTGCCAAAATACGTGAGTATTAATTGTATTATAGTAATTTTTCAGTGTATAATTTCATACATAATATCATTAAATCATATTATAATAAGATTAATATTGTCTAAAGACTTAAAGAAAATGTACGTGTAATATATTACACTTTTCAAATGTTTTAAACGAGAATACATGGTAAATACAACAGACTATGCTCAGCCGCGTAGGTAGTCTTTATAGGTTCTAAATTACAAAATAATCCCAAGTTAATACATYATATTCCTTGTCCCTGCTGTTATATT